TTAGGGGTGATACTTTAACATTATTTTATTCTGAACAATCACAGTAAAGATAAAGTGTAATCCGTATATTCGATACCTATATGCGTCCTATATGGCTGTGATGAAAGGTCTATGTGAAAGGAAATGGCGGAGATATACCTTCGCAACTGCTGAAATGGCAGAATGGTATTGATTTGGCAGAACGAAAAGATGTCGAAAGTTTAAGGTATTATTAACATACGCCAAGAATATACTTAGTGATTCGTTTCCTGTCTGATGAGTTAATATTACTGTCCAATAAGTCATCATGCAAGGAAAACAGCTTATAGGATAGGAAGAGAAACATCGATGATTACGCAGTGTTCAAGTGTTCATGGAATTGAGTACAAATTCTTTAACTTTTCTTGTGTCAAATAATGGCAATCCACCGGTGGTACTGAATGTTTTTTGTAAAAAATAAACAAAGAAACAGTCTCCAAGAAATATTGGATCTGCCAATACAGTGGCTGCAAAGCATATGCGTATACTGATCTTCACAGTGAATTTTTGAAGTGAACTGAAGAGCATGACTAGCTTTCCGGTCAGAAGATCTTGAGATGAAGTGTCTTCAAACTGAAGAAAATCGATGTCGTCACTTCTTCCTTCAGTTAAATGCCGAAGCTCAAGCACGATCGAAGAATTTCGCTATGAGACAATTGAATGAATAATCCATACACTAAGTGAAGGATAAAAATCTAACAAGATCAGTGCTAATGAACTATCAGATGGCTTATCACATGTTATAACAAAACAGAACAAATAACGTATCTTCAGATGTTGTGGTATTCTGTCCATCACTTGTCCAGGAATCTTTCTCGCGTGCGAATTAATAGTTGTTGATCAATGCCTGTCACTTATTGTAATTCCTTTTTTCTACTAAATCTCTTTCGACATTTTTTCCTTCTACATTATTTCGCTCTGCCAAATCAATACATACCAAACAACAGTTCCAAGTGCTTTTTTATGAAAACCACATGATAGGTTCTAAATAAAAAGAAAATGGTAGCATTCAGTTTTTTTTACTAGACTACAAAACGTTTAAAATGTAAATTTTCATTTTAGTTGCTTCCAATGACGAGTAACAGTTCGGGCGCGCATCCATATGTACTGGAGGTTCATGGGAAAACCTATAGGCTATCTGTTCCTCAAGGTTACATACAAGTGAAAGAACTTAAATCTACCATTAGAAAACGCTTTTCCATCTTTTATAAGTTTGAACTCACCTACAAGGGAGCAATTTTAAAGGACGATGAACAATTCGTCGATCTTCGTTTGAATACAGCAAATTCCGTACGTGTTCGGCGAAATTCCACTGAACCTCTTTCTGACCAACCATATACAGAAGCACCAATTATTCATCTAAACAGAATTCAATCTTATCAACCATCTCGAGATAGGTCACATAATGATACAAACCGAAACTTAGATAGTCACAACGATACCAATGAAGACAAGAAACGACCAAAAGCTGCGATGGTTTCCCGTCAAGATGTGGGCGATTCGTTTGTTTTCTGCACCGCTTCTAACATAACTTCCTCTAAGACAATAATTGATGACGATAACCTAGCGGATTCTAAACAACGCCACTCAGATCATCACCGAAAGCGTTCATGTCAAACAATTCCGCTGTCAGAAGTCGAAGACCTTGTGGAACAACCATTTCTTCGTTCCAAAACTGAAATAGCTCTTTCTCAATCCAAATCAGTTTATACAGGATTCTCCACATCAATTAATTCTAGTAAGATTCCTGTTCAAAGTGAGAGTGACGATGACGACTTCAAAAATAACCAATATAAGTATAAAAGCTCTTCCTATGTACATCAACAAATATATTCACTTCCACTGTCACCCGTAGATGACTGGTTTGAAAAAAATCAACCGAGAAGTATTTCAACACGCCCACAACGGTCTTTTTTGCCTTTATCTGATAGAAAACTGTGTGATACACTGAATGAATGTTCACAACAGGCACGCCAATCGTGGCGTAGATCAACATTCACTTCGACTGATGATGATACTGATGGAAATACGAGAAATGGCAATTTTATAGAGGAGCTTGATTCTGATTCACTTGTTAACTTTCCACAGACAGCCATAGCATCAACAATTAGACCAAGAACATCTTCAGCTAAACCTATTTCTATGCATGATCGGTCACTTTCTTCGACATCATCGATTTCGACTGACGAAGACAATGATAGTGATAAATATGTGCGGAAGAAAAATGCCAATAAAGGATTTAGGTTGAACCCATCTGATCATCATCGCTCATCAGTAACAAGAGCAGAAATCAGACAAACACCAACTTCAATAAGAGCCATGTCCAACCTTGAAAAGTCAAAAAATGTTGTACAAGACTCTACGTCGCAAACAGGTAAGATACCATACTAATCTCAGTATAATAAACATGTTCAAACCTCTACAGAAGACAAGTAGTGTTTATCGAGGATCAACTTATCTTTTAATCTAAATTGAAAGAATAATACTGATTATCAGAACTGTAACTAAAAGCCCCACCCGCTCGCCATTTTTCGGTAGAATTCATAGACATCAGTTTTACTTTTGCTGTTAGGTACTGTCATTGTTTTATACTCTTAACATTTCTGTTTTTCGAAAAAAAAACACTTGCTTTATGCCTTTCTACTAGAAAAGCGCTTTCCGTTCTGTAATTCGCTCGATTAAGGTTTCGCAAAGCGAACCTTCACAACATTTTTCATACTATTGATGCTCTATGACAGAAATAGCAAATCTGAAATGTGTCGAAACCGGAAAATAATCTTGTCCACTGTCATCTTATATTACTGTACTTCATATTTGTGTAGATATAATGAAGTTTTGTTTGCAATTTTTATAACACATAATATCGAGACTAGAAAACTTGTCATGAGGGTACATATTTAGTATGAAGTAGGAATATTATCTTCATTGAAAATGACAGTATGAAACGTATACTTATTTTGGTTCAGGTCGACGCTCGCTGACCCATCAAAATCAACTATTGAGAATAGATACGTCAGTTGAATCGGCTATGAACAATCTTTATCAAATAGAGAGTACACCGCCTGTTAACAATTACAATGAAGCAAATAAATTAACAGTGAATGAATCACAAGTAAATGCAAGTTATATATCGGATGTACGAGTACCAGATTCAAGAGCTAGAAACGTAAGAAGATCGCGTACTGAAAAGAGATTTATTAACTCACCAGAAAGATCGATTAGTGGTTCTTATGCAGATGAAGTGACAGTGAATATGGAAACGCTTAACAATGTGTACGTTATCAGACTATCGTCTACCGCTTCACTCAAAGATTTACGTCAACGTATTCGAAATCATAGCAAAATTACGCAGCTAAATTTTGACTATTATTCAAACTACCGCTACACTAGCTAATCTTTACATGAATCGCGTAATTTACGTATAATACATTTGGAATGTGTTGGGGGATGAAGATTGTTCCGAAGAGACACATTTGTTACTCTTATTTACACATCGTATGCACATCTTTGAGAAAACGAAGACTAATGATGAACTCATTGGTACCTTTCTTCGTTTGATGCCATCAACGAGTCAATCAGGCAATGAAAAGACAATTCATTTTTACGCATATACATTGAAACATAAATTCGGTAAAGGCATGTACGCTTATGAGACTGATCCAAAGGAATTGTTTACTCATTCAGAATGGTGGACATCTCGGGTTTACAAACCACAAGAAACTGTTTCACAGACAATGATTCTTAGCACCATGTACGTTCTTTATCAATATTTTCGCCGGCCGGTGCAAGAAGAAATTGGCAAAAGAGTAGCGCTTGAGGCACAGTTTCTCTTACAAATGCGCAAGTATCTCTTTCGACCTGCTGTGCTAGCACTTAAACACATGATGATTGGTGAGATGTTTGTCTACGAGAAGAAAATCTTGGTTGATAGCCTTCTGACTCTCCTAATTAAGTTTTGTCCTAAGAAAATTGAGGAAAGTTTAGCAGGCATTTTTTTACCTTATCTAATATGCTGGACTTTCCACCAGTGTGACTTAGAATCAGAAGAAGAAGATTCATGTGTAGAACTCGAACTGTTACGACATGCTGATGCCTTTGAAAATTATTACTTTAATGATCCAACAACCGAAGCCGAGCTAACTCTCAGTTGTGTCACTCTTTACGAACGTCAAGAAATAAGAAATGACAATAACATTCGTCATGTCGATATATTTTCTTTAATCAAGCATCTGAAAAATCCAAGTTTATATCATTCCGGACGTCAATGCACTATCAAATCTTATTTTATAGACCTCTTTAAAACAAACGAAATCTATCCGATCAAACGTATGACTGATATTCAAGTTAATGAAATATGTGATATAATGTATCTTCGCTATGAGTGCTTTACTTTGATCACCCGCGAGAAGCTTCGCAACAACTTTCGTGATCAACTAATCATGTTAAAAGATCGATGCGTGGGTATTGCCTTTTCACGACGGCAACGAGTGTACAACAAGAATGTGATTGATTATGATGTGTGTGTCTTTGAACCAACAATGGATAATGAGCAGAAAAACCTCAATGCAAAAGATATTTATGAAGTCGAGCCTGAGAGACCCGATCCTCAACTATCATCGTTTATCTCTCAAATTATGCAAGTTAAAATTATGCCTACCATAACAAACATCAGATCGATCGAGCAAATAACGATGGTTCTACTGGATGTGAGTGCATCCATGTTCCGAACACACGTACAGAACCAAAACAGTCTTCCTACTTTGTTTGAACTTAGTCGAGCAGTACTATTCATTCTAAGCGATAATTTGCAATGGCAAACACATCCACATGCCATAGGACTTATTCTTTTTGGTTCACAAGCGATTATACGTTGTTATCCAACACAAGATCCCGATACCTTCGAACGAGAGATTAACCAAATTCCTAATTTCAAGAACGAATGGACACATATGTATGATGCGATTATATTAGCTCTCAATACCATGGATGAATACGTGAAACACTATCCTGTCACTTCTGATTACAGTCAGTTAATAATTTGTATTTCAGATGGTGTCGACTGGAGAAGTAAAACAACGTTAAAAGAGGTTAAACAGAGAATAAAACAGTCTCATAAAAGAACTGTCGTGGACCTAGTGTCATTTGTGACAGATACTCGACAACTTGCAAATAATGACGAACGTCAGCGACATCAAGAAGTTTGCCGTCTATGCCAACAAACTGATGGCAATTTGTATTGTAATAAATCTATTAAGCCTGCAGATTTGGCTATAACATTTGAACGAGAGACAGCATGGTGGCTTAAAGCACGTAAAAAACGAAGCATTTTGGAAATAAATGCAGGAGCTAATCGTGTTGATTATCCAACACAGGAGCCTCCTGATCAATTGTGTGCTATCGCAAGTAGATTTCAACCTCAGCGTAGAACAGCTGACGAAACGAGAATACTTGCAACTGGTAGTCGTCTTGCGCGCATCAAGATTGAAGCAAACAATATCGCTATTTCTGAAATGAATGGGATCCACCTATTTGTCAGCGACATTGATATCACTTTTTGGAAGATTATCTTAGAGGTAAACCAATATCACATAGAGTATTGTTTTATTTATAGTGGAAAGTGACAAGACAGCCATTATTACTTTATAACACAATTTATCGTAGTTGCTCTTCAATAATTACCCTGTGTTCAAAATAATTTTAGTGTGGGTGCGGGTGTGGATGTGGGTGGATGTGGAGTTAAACATCATCTTCTCATTCACACCCACACACTCACACTCAAAATGTCGAAAGGAAAAATGTTGAAAGAAAAAATATAGAAGAGGAAAAATATCGAAAAGTAAATATTGAAATGGGAGAATATCGAAACAGGAAAATATCGAAAAAAAAACGATTTCTCCAGTAAATGGTAAATCTAATCACATATAGTTCATTGTTACTTTTCTTATAATTTTACTAGTGTAGAGTTTTAACCAGTAGAAATGGCAATGACTAATACCTGATAAAAATTAAATAAAAGAGTTGAGCGAAGAACTATTATTGTTATGAACTGAAGTGTTTCCCTTCATTCATAAGACGAAACAAACAGAATAAGACACACTCCTTTCTAGTACAGTGGTTAATACGTCTGCCCGGAAAGCAGGAGGTGTATGGTTCGATTCCATGCGAAGGGAGATTATTCTTTTGTTTCGTTCTGTAGTCATGCCATCACGTTGCTGTCTCGGTGATAACAGAGTATAATAACATGAGAATAAAGAAATAAAGAATACGTAACAATTATATAACTAAAATTCTATTGTCATGGCTGAAGCTACTGCATCCTCAACTGATGTAACTCAAGCAAAATCTCCAGCTATTTCATTTATAAATTCAAATAAAGGAAAACCTTTACTCAATTTACTACAGGTTTGTGGGCTAGACCAAAACAAGCTAAAACAATTGCTACTGAACATCGTATGGATAAACTTGGTGAACGATATTATGATGGTGCTATAACTGCTATAGAATACTCAGATGGTTCATCTCTTACAGTTGCTAAGCGAAAAAAATGATATTTGATCAATCGTTTTTTCATTATCTATATTTGATCACTGTTAGGATATTAACACCAATGCATATAATAAAACATGTTAATTCTATTCATAACTCTTAAACATGTGCTGACTATTTTTTATGTCGATATTATTTTTTCGACATTTTTTCCCTTCGTTTCTTCGATATTTTTCCTTTTGACATTTTTACAGCCAACCTTTGATACCTATAATTGCAATTGTAAATATATTAACTGATTAGTTCACTTTATCATCTCACTCTAGGGCCCAAAAAATACTTTGTATGCAAATTGTCACTGGCTTTTATATGTTACTTTTCCTGATCAATATCCTAGTATTCCACCCAATGTGAGATTCTACACTGGAATCTACCACGTCAACATCAGTGGCGATGGTCAAATATGCCATGAATTGTTAGGTACAGCTTGGTCCACACGCGTTCAAATGTGCAAAGTTCTCGAAGCCGTGGTGAACTTGCTAACCGAACCTAATTACAGTCATCCGATTTCATCTCAAAGAGCTGCTCTGTATCATCAAAATAAAGAAGATTATAAAGCACGTGTTCTCCAATGGAACAAGAAATATGCAAGTAAATCAATAGACGATTTATGCATTGAATTCAATCTACGATGAGTTGACATGTGTTATTGGATGATATGACTGGGGCTAACAAATCATTAAATATATTTTAAAATATATGCATCAAAATATATTGAAAAGAAATATGCAGAAATATATGAGTAGAAAAGAAACAATATTACCGAGCAGTTACTCTTCCCTTTCTGAAAGAAAGAGTTATACATTTGAAAAAAAAAATTAGGCATTATTGTCTGTCCGACCAAGTGAGATTTCAGCAGAACTTTTCTCTCTTATTGAGAGTGAGGGTGCCAGCATGAACTAGAACTACCACGACCAGTTTCAACCTTGCTCCAGGGTCTCATCAGATGGCTTAAAAAATATCTGCATAATAATCTGATTACTAAACTTAAATTGAAAAGGATATTGAATCGCATTGTATATGTGATCATGGTTGGATTCATCGTATAAATGATACTGAAATTACATTTTTAGCTTCTTGAATTTGTTTTTTGGTAAACAAGAATTGTGAATAGTTGAAAGTGTCTTTGAAATAGAATATTATCGTCATTTTGGGTGTGGGTGTGAGTGCGTGAAGAGAACACTCCCATGCACACCCACATCCACACCCGCATTAATCATTTATAATCAACGTGGGCTGATTCAAAGTCTTAAGCGTTCCCCTCCTTTTAAAATTATATTTATGTCCAAGAAAAGATTTTATTATTTGACACCAAACGACATAAAGTAGTAAAAGAGTTTGTTTTGTTAAACATAGATCAGTTCATATTCATCTTTTTAAGATTAGTAAATATCTGTAAATACTATAGTCTAGGTTTGTCTTATTTGTCGATTTTGACGGAAATGATAACAAATTCAATTAAATTCATTTTGAATAAGTCGATAGAGTATTTCAGCTACTTCAGTAATTGAAACACAACTGATCTANGGTTGTTAATAGAATATTTCTAAAGTAGCCAATTGTTTATTTTGTTGTCTGATATACATGCAGAAATGAAGAATAAACAAGCAAGTGATATTGCCTACTCATCAGTGTGTCTAGACTTTCTCCTATGTCATTCACTAGTTGTTTTTTTTGGAACTATTGTTTATACAAGAAAAAAGGACAAATATTTAATGGTAATTATTAGTTTTTTCTTGTGACCGGCGCGCGAGCAAAAACTGTTGGTGCCCGGGTTAGCCCAACCCTGGTTACGCCCCTAGAACAGACCATACATCAACAATAATATCTTGTACTGCAATGAGAAAATAGATGAAGAAAAAGAAGATTGTTAATATGGCAGTGGGTAGATTGATCAAAAGAGATTCCAAGTAGAATGAGACAATTGGTAAAAAAAATATCAATAATTAACCGAATAGGTACCAACCATGTTTCACGACAATCAACTCGACTCTCACCCTCACAGTGAACTGGAAAAGATGAATACGATGTCATTTGATGAGACATGAACGTTTCGATTGTTCTGCTTAATATTTATTCATCTCTCTTCTTATATCTACTTTATATCGGGAATTGAAATTGTCAAACAGTCACTTTTTGAAGAACGAAAACTAAATATGACGATCAAAAATATACCTATATTCTCACTTTGATTGTTGACTATACACATTCGTCTGTTGGTAAGTTGAACTCTTCTGTTTCATTTTATAATTCGCTTTTTATTTTCTTTTTTTCCTTTATTCGATAATACAAACAAAAAAAGTATTTTAAGATTTTTTTTCATTATAATAGAAAGATAAAATACAAAATGATAAACAAATGAAGTTCTAAAAATCCTTTTCATATTCAATATTGAATATTTTAATTATTGCTGTCTTGGATAAGTTGTTATTTATAAAGAAATTTCGTGCTAAATTTTTATTTTCTTCTTCATCATCATCGCCATCAACATTATCGATCCAGATTTTAATCATTTTTAAATTCAATGGTAAAATTAAATTTGTTGTTGTAGTTGATGATGCCTATTACGAACAAATTTCACTAAGAAAAAAGTCTAATAGTTGTTTTCGCGTACTGTATATTGTCGGCGATCATAGTAGCCTATAAAATGGATCGAATTTATAATTAATTTTTTTAATTTCGGTAGACATGGTAATAAATCTGTTATTAATGAATAAAAGCATAATGTTGGTGCTGATATAGTATAATTATCATCATCATCACAGATTTCTATATATATATATAAGTTATAGATATGTGTAGAATTAAATAACTTACCTCCAATAATAAGGGTTTCTAAATGACTTAACGATTTTTCTCTTCTTGATAATTCCTTAAAGTCTAAATAAATGTCATATGTATGTGCGAGGACCTACCATTTTGGCATCCACATAGATATGGTTCAAAATTTAAATGCAAATATATTAATGATTTCATTTTAGATGATATTAAATTATTACATAATTCTAAACATAAAAATTCGAGTTGTGTATATACAATCAATCAGATTTAAATGCTTATCCTTACTTTGTATGTTATTATCTTCTTCTCTTTTATCTTCAGTACTGATTTCATCTAGTAAACTTAACCGTCTTAAACTTTCATATAATTTTGCGGCTGTTTCAAATATTATAGAATATATAGTTTCAATTGTTATATTTGATAACGTTAAAGATTTTAATTTAGAAAATTTATCTTTGAATAAATCATCGTAAAATATTACATTAAGTTTGTATTTATCATGAGCTATCACTGATAATGGATAGTTTTGACTTGTTGCGATGAATTGATTTAAGTTCAAACAAAAGGTTAAAAATTTTGTATTTGGTACTAGATCTAAGTTAATGTATAGTTTTGATTCATACTGAATTAGGTGATTAAAACGTTGATTTAAATTAGAAAATGTCTCATATAATTCATAGAAGTTGAAATATGAAAAACAAATTAATATTAATTCGTTTGATAATTGTTCAAATTTTGTAATCATTATTGGAATAGGACAGTATCCGTTACTTACTGAAGAAAGTTTTGTTATGATGACGAACAATGAATAATATGATATAAGAGAAAAAAATACTACACAACTTTTGGCGTCTACTGTTATGTATCAGTAATGAACACATCCCCTTCGAACATGTTGCCTGACCTTTTGCCCGCTTAGAAATGTGATGTCCGTTTGTCTTCTTGTTCTTTTCATTATTATTATTCTCCTTTGTATCGAGGTGATGACGATAGTAATACTCCTCCAGTTTGCCCGTTCTTATAAGCAATGAAAGAGGTTTAAAGTACGATGGGGAAAAATCAATTATGTTTTCTGGTAGTTTGTCTTTTTTGCCTTATAACTTTTTCACTTTTCATCGGATAAAAAAATTTTCGCTACCAATCATGTAGAGCAGACTCTGCTCTACAAAACTGTGTTTTAGTTTTCCAAAATACTTTCCAGAGACGGATCTCTCTGGTTTTTCAAATGACTTCTATCAAATAATGATTTATCCCATGTGGGGTAAATCAATCATTGCGCTAGCGTCATTGGGGTAAATCAATTATTCTAGCAGTCTTTAGCTACATCATGTAAAACCTAATTTTTAAAGGCTCTGATAAGTTCAATTTCGAAAATTTTTAGATCAATGGAAAGCGCAAACATGCTTCTACGACTCTAAGGTGACTGTACCATTATTTTCTACAGTAGATATAGTATTATGTATTGATTCAGACTATTTTGGATCTTTTATACTAATACTTGGGTCATTTGATAAGATTTACTCAGCAACATCGAATTACCTGGTAATGTGCCAACTATACTTATCGAGTGCCTACAATTTTGTCGAATGTAAAAAATGTCGATTTCAACTTGATTTCAAGTTGATTTATCGTCCAGAAATCAACTTGAAATCAAGTTGGTATCAAGTTGAAATCGACAAATTTGTAATCGACATTTTTTGTATTCGACAAAATTGATGTTCCCCATACTCACCCTCATTAGCGTTGCAGATCCTTACAGAAAAAGTTCTGGAAAATTGTTTGAAGGCTCACAAGCTTTGATCGAAAATGACGAGTTTTGAAGCGGCTCATAGCCATGTGAATGTTTATAAAAATAAGTGAAAAAAGTCGATTGTACAGAAAAAATTGCAACTGACTTAGGAATATTTATTTAAAGTTAAGAAAATATTAGACAGAAAACAAAGAAGAGATGAATTTATGTGACAAGTACTAGGATCAAAATTTCTGGAATACAAACTCACTGATAATGTAAAGTATGATTTCCTCTTTTCACTAGATCTATATTTCTTCCTACTTTTCCTGAAATTTCTCTAGATTTTCAATAAGATATAATTTCTGAATAGCCTCACGGCTAAGTATTTGACAAAAATTTGCTGCAATGAGTTACATTCAGATCTTCAACTTATAAATATTTCCATAATAATAATCACCCAAACACTGCCACTCTTCAGATTCATAAGATCGCAAATTCCCTTTGCGATCTTCATCTAAATGAGTCTTATACTTTTCAAATGCATCTTTCTGTCTCATTTCTAATTTCAAACACACCAGCCTTGAAAAAATGAAATCGTAGACAGTCCAGCAGATTTGAAAATGTTTATGGGTAGTCATTGTGAAATCGATTATTACATGGAAGTTCGAGCGAGTGTAAATTGGGAAATATGCTTGATACTTCGAAGCACATAGATGATGCCGAAGGCAAAGGTTTATAACAACGGAAGCGATCATTGCAACCTTTGATATACAAGTGTTTGCTTTTCTTTGAATATTTCAAAGGAATGAGCAGTTATAGTTGCTCATCTATTGTTGTCGTGATACTATCACTCAAAACCGTCAAACAGTTGAGATTTGGCGATAAGTCCAGAAATTTCAATAAAAATTAGTGCATCTCCGGTGTCAAAGGATTTTTCACAAAATACATCTCTTTTTTTTCCAAATGAACCAGTGTGATGTCATCTTTCAGTTCAAAATTCTGTGGCAGACTTTTTCTTGAATCGGTTTGAATGTAAATTGTTCAGAAACTTTGTAGCTTGTCTAGGGTGAGATAATCTTTAGAAGATGAGTGTGGGTGTGGGTAGGAATAAAGAGAACTCCAGAACATACTCACATCTACACCCATTCATAGTTTTCCTGTTTGCAAACAAATGCAACGTACAATGAATCTTTATCCATTCGTTCGGCTCTTTTGCAAGATGATAACAGCAGAGGAAACTATGCCGATCGATCAGTTCATCGAAGTTTGTCACTTTACCTTTGATTCAATATAAACCACTCTTCGTGAGCCAATGGTTTACAATCAATTATGTTTCGTTGTTATCACCACAAAAGTACATCATTTTTTCTCATCTACTTGGTTTTTCTCTTATTTCTCTACTGAGATTATTAATTTAGGTTTTTGAACATCAATCGCTTACCAGTTTAGAACAAACAGTTCTATGCAATTGGGTTAGTCGTCTGTGTCAGCAATGGCAGATGCCTTCAGATCGACAAACAATAGTTCATCTATGTATCAGTAGCAACAATTATGGACTTTCTTATCGGCATAGTTCAAGATACTGCACGTTATCTCAGTTATGTAGACGCAGCATTCGATCATGTTGTCTCATTAAATGATCTTTATTTTCGAAAAGTGATTGGAAATAATTTCTGGAAATGAATAAAGTGATTCTTGTTTTTTTGATTATTCATAGGTTTCCTAATGAATCTGCACTTCGACTGGTACTCGCTTGTGGACATCGTTGGCTCGATTTCGATACTGTCGAATATATAATGAGCAATACGGCTCTTCATTTGTTATGCCATCAGTCAGAGAGTCAAACAATGATCAAATTACTTTTAAATGCTGGTGCTCATATTGATTGTATGAATGGTTATGGACTTACACCATTGATGTATGCAACTAGCCAAGAAACCAAAGCTTTTCTCAAGTCGAAATCAACTCCAGCACGTTCCAAATGTTTTTGTGCTTCTATGATAGCTAGACAACGATTGAATACAAGTGATCTTGGATCAGCAACATCGAAATTAAACATATTAATTTCACTACACGGCTGTTCAATGACCAAATCTGACTATAAACGAAAATAGATGTATTTGATAAAGTGCAGTAGTTCTATTTTAGCATTCGAATATAATTTATAATAAAATATACTGTGTACATTGCCATTACCTAGTGTAACTTTACTTGATATCTGAANACGATGAAAATCCCGAGAGCACAATGGAAATCTCGGGAGTATAATGGGAATCCCGAGAGTACAATGAAAATCTCAGGAGTACATTGGGAATTCCGGGAGTCCGATGGGCAAGACGATGGGAATCCTGGGAGTACGAAATCCGCCGTTTCCTCCTTGAGAAACACTGTCTGCAAGCAGTGGCCAACAATCCTGCATCTTTTGGTCAATCGCAAAATTAAGAAATAACGAGTTATGTTAATAAAAACAGTAAATTAAAGAAAGTTGGATCTTCTGATTTATTGTTTTATAGTTTTCTGTTATTTTTAGATACAATGAGGAACCCGCAAGTATAGTGGAAATTCCGGAAATGTTTTGGAGAATCCTTTAGGAATCCTGGGAATCCCATGGGAATCTCGAGAATCCTGTGGGAATCCAGGGGATCCCGGGAATCCCGTGGGAATCCTGGGAATCCTATGGGAATCCTGGGAATCCTGGGAATCCTGGGAATCCTGGGAATCCTGGGAATCCTGGGAATCCTGGGAATCCTGGGAATCCTGGGAATCCCGGGAATCCCGGGAATCCGGAATCCGCCGTTTCCCCCTTGATATAAACTCTCACTAGGTATACTACAATATTGTGTCCTCACAAAGAGAAAAGAAAACTTCTAATGAAGAATTTAAAAATACCAGCAGAATTTAAACAGAATTCTGTTACAAATAATAGAATATAAACTTTGAAAAAGAATACTAGAACCGTATATCACCAACAAGAAAGAAAAATTCTAGCGCACAGTTTAATACAAACTTCGAAAAGACCTACCAGAGTCGTATATCTCGAACAGGAAGAAAATTCTAGTGAAGCATTTAAATATGCGAGCAGAATTTAAACAGAATTCTGTTACAAATAACAGAATACAAACTTTGAAAAGCCATACTTCAATCGTATATCTCGAACAAGAAAAAAAATTCTAGTGAAGAATTTAAAAATACCAGCAGAATTTAAGCAGAATTAGAATTCTATTACATCCAGCACAATTCAAACTTCATCACACATAACACAATGATTAGATCCCGTTCGATAAAACAAAATTCTGATTAGAATTTAGAAAATACAGCAGAATTTTGCTACAATCTTCATAGAATTCTATTACATCCAGCAGAATTTAAACTTCATCACACATAAGTCAATGGTTATTTAAAACTTCATACACACACATAGTATATCAGAATTCTGCTTAATACAGAATTCTATTCAGAAATGAAAAGGAACAACAGAATTGTACATTAATACATATTTAGAAAATGTACAAGTCTACAAAAATCTGATACAACATCAGAATTCTGTTCTGAATTTAAAAAGCAACAGAATTCTACGTTAATACAGAATTCTATTCAGAATTGAAAAGAAACAACAGAATTCTATATTAGCACATATAATATGAAAAAATGTACAAGGCTACAAAATTCTGAATTCTACTGGGTAAGAATTCTGCAACTGCTGCCCTCACCCCCGCAATAGAAGGCCCTGGATCTTCTAATATGTCCGAGCATAAAAAAATCTGCAGGGTTCTTCTATTGAGGGGGTCTTCTAATCCGATTTTTAGGTTAAACTTTTGAAAACATTTTCAAAAATTTTTCTTTTATATTTCATATTTTTGTTTTCGGAAACAATACTTTGATAAACATCTGTCTATGAGATTATCTAGTCATAAATGGTGATGTACATGTGTGGCGCTTCTCGTATTACCGCCCTGTTTTTCTAGCGTCAGCAAAACAGCGCTTATCCGATTAGATTTCTGTAACCGTCTGAGGTTTCGTCTGACGATGAGATACTCCCACGATCCAGAAATTGGAAGTTCAAGAAATTCAAGAGATGTTGATATCTTTCATGGCAACTGCATATAACCTCCATCGAAGTCAAGGAATTCAAGGAAATCGCGGAAAATCCAGGAATTCCAGAAATTCAATAGATTTCGATGTCTTACATGTCTACTTCTTAAAACCTCTGTAGAAATCAAGGAATTGAAGTATATCAAGGAAATTCAAGAAAAATGTAGGAATTCAAGAAATTCGAGATATGATGCTATCTTCCAACTTCTCTCGAATTCCTGCATTTTCCTTGAATTTCTTGAATTTCCTTCAATTGTCAATTTCTGAATCGTGGGTACTGCTGCTTCCGATAATGCCTTAACCTCTACAGATATATCCAAAAACCTATCAAAGTTCTTATAAACATAGAGCTCTGCACACCCATACTCAAAACATTTCGAAGATGTTTTAGGTATGAAAAAAAATTGACAGCAATCTATGTAGAAAGGTAGATTGTTTGAGTAACACATGGTGTACTTCTCAGCAAATCAAGATCTTATCCATACTCAACGGAGGCATTTATAAGAAGTTTCTGCGTAAAATTAACCCTTTCTTTCCCAATGGTATCTATAGATACAATTTTTTAAGTTTTTCTTTCTCTTAAACAGAAAAGCATATAGAAACAAATTTTATATCAAATTATGGCTTTTGTATTGTACATTCTCAAGTAATAGTTTCGAATTGTTTGACTAATTGAATGTTTAGATTTTTCCACTTTTAAAACTTTTGTGGATTTAATGACCTTTTCCAGATTGAAAAGTACATAGAATATGCGGTGTAGGCGAAGAGCATTGGTACTTGACAGATTTGCTTCAAACTCTTCCTATATGTATTAGGGACTATTATAACTGATGTTGTTGAGTGAATTTCGTTTTGGGCCTTCAAATTAAACTATGGAGAAGAAAGATTTAAAGTGATAATCATTAGCAAATGCGTCAAATTTCGATAGTATTACTAACCAAAGTCTTATGTGTAAACTCTTATGAATAAACTTAGTCGTTTTGATATTTTCATCCGAACACTGATTGTAGCGAGATTCCGGCCTAGGATTATGACAGTTCGAATGCAGAGAAAGAAATTGATAAACAATTCGAAAGACCTCGTCGAATAGCTGGAATTTAGACTTGGAGCTTATCGTTCAGCTCTTTTCTTCTGAAACTATTATAACCTCATTTACAGATAATAAAAACTATAATGACATGTAGAGAACAACAGTGTTTAAGAAGGAACATGCTGTTTGAAGCTCCTTTCGATTTCTTTTTAACGGATAGGGAGTATCTCCCGATCATCGGATAAGACTGAAAACATTTTGACGGCATAGTTGGACAAGTAACGTTCATCGTCAAGCGATTCACTTAGCCCTAGACTGATAGAATACATGTACAGATCTAATAACATAAAAAGCTACATTAAAAAAGTAATACGCAAAATTGAAAATATGACCAGTATATCTTAGGCGACCAGAAAACTTAATTTGGAGAATTCTCACTCTAAGTAAAGATGATGCATTTAGAAATTTAGTTTTTTTTTATCGTTTTTGTTTTATTTTTGTTTTGCTTTTATAAATATAAATAGCGCCCAATAACATTAGACAACAATACGATTTTTTTATAATTATATTGGCGCTATTTGTACGTACAAAAATATGAATTATATTATTCATAAAATTTGAGTTTTATTAATCAATATTTTATGCTTAAATTCGCGCATTAATTCTAAACTATTAATAAATTAGATATTCATTGATACAACATTGCACAATCAATCCTACAATAATGAATAATTTAAACGATTTCTTTAAATCCATACTGCTCATTTGGTCTGACTCTCACTAATTAAATGCTTTTGTAAGCCGTTTTACACCACTACCCGAATTATAGTTATTCCATTGACATTTTACCCATGATTATTATGGGTTCATTTACATCAGTCTTTAGATGGTCATTTGTACCATAGTTACCGGAATAGTTGTTTGTACCATGGTTGCTATATGATCACCTGTGCCATAGTTACGTGGCCGTTTGTACCAAAAAATGACCGTTTGTGCCATAGTTACATGCTCATTTGTACCATAGTTACCTAGTTAATTTTAGTAAAAAAATGGCCGTTTGTGCCAAAAAAATGGTCACTTGTGCCAAAAAAATGGTCGTTTGTGGCATAAAAATGGTCTTTTGTGCCAAAAAAATGGTCGTTTATGCCAAAAAGATGGTCACTTGTGCCAAAAAAAAAATGGTCGTTTGTGCCATAAAAATGGTCTTTTGTGCCAAAAAAATGGTCGTTTGTGCCATGTTACCGACAATTCCCGTTTCTAGACCCTAGCCTTACAGTCTAGGGAAAAAAACATAACTCTTGAAATACATGAGTTTAGTTACACTGGTTTTTTTTAATTATTTGCATTTAATTTTTTACATATTGCATAAAAAAAAGATGCCTTGACCCATAATTCCTCATTCTGTCTCGGAAATGAAAATAAGTCAACCGAAAAAAAAAACCATATATTCATATATAAATTGAATGCGATGATAATGTCTCAAAATCAAAAAGAAAGTATGATAAAAGCTTTAATTTTACTCACTATAAGCATAGCCGTTATTGAAGGCTCTTACAATTGTGCACAAGACAAGGGATTGTTTAAAAACGATGATGATTATCGATCTTATTATACGTGCACAAGTTATTGTGATCGTCTTGAATATTGTTCAAAAACAACGGAATATTATTCAAGTCTTGAACGAACCTGTAAAAGTACTGGATTTGATTGGTTACCAGCATATGGTCTAACTGGAATTCAACAAATAACACCATCTGTTCAATACAGACATTTTCAACAATCGAATTTTGATGTATATTGGTCAAGTGAAACATTAAGTCATCGATTTGATTTTATTGGTCGATATATCAATGAAACACATGTGGTCGGAACTGAAACAATTTTATCATTTACCACTAAATGTGTTCTTGTAAGAGATGTACAATTATCAGTACAAGATACAAGATCATTTTGTGCAACAAATGTAGCAAATCCGTATTCAATGAAATGTAAATTACCTCTTAATTATGTTTTTTCTGGTTGTATAAGTTATTGATATTCATTTCTATAGCAAATATTAGAAAAAAAAACGAGTATCGCTTCTTTATTTTCCAAATATTAATAATTTTTTGTCTATTTCATTTATCATTGTTATCGATAGTATTCATTTATTTGAATTCTTTCGGGTTTGTTTGCTGAATATTTTCCAGAGCAAATAAAGCTAAATAAGGTTGTCTATTTTTTTGATCAAAGAGTATGTATAAATAGATTTAATTTCTCTTTTAGATAACAATGAGAATTCCATTATCAATATTATTTTTAATTTGTTTCATTTCTTGTGGAATGGCTTATGTGTGTCAAAACAAGAAATGGAACATATCCACATGAATGGAACAAAGCAGCTTACTATCGCTGTTCAAAGTGGTGTGCTTATCAACAAAACTGTCCTCCTAATTATTATTATTACGCTCAAATTAATCAATGTCAATTGCAACCAACTGACTGGACTCCACGATTCGATTTGACTGGTCGATACCAATTGGGTTGGGGCTACTTTATGGATATTACTCAAACAGGCTATAATGTACGATGGATATACGAAACTAATGAGGATAGATACGCTTTTGTTGGTCAATATATTAACGAAACAATGATAATGGGTATGCAAACAAATATAAAAAAAAGAACCAATTGTATAGTTTTAGAAAATTTTGAATTGTCCGTTTCGGGAAAGCGTAATTTCTGTCGAACTCGAGCAACATTCCCCTGGTATACACGTACATGTAATACAGGTTTATCCAGTAATCAGTGTTATGTTTATTGATTCATTTTGACTGTATGTTACTTTTAAAGTTGATATTAAAGGTCAAAATATATATCTATACTATTTAACTTCATTAAATAGTCATAGCAAGGTTTTAAAGATAAAATATTTATACGTTCTTTCTTTTAGATGTTCGTTTTCAATATTCTTCTACTTTTCATTACGAATAGTTACTGTATCGATGAATTACCTGGTATAAATGATATATCATCTGGTTATGATGCGGCTAAGATGCTTTCTGCAAATGAACAAAATTCAAAGTATCGTATTTTTGATCTGAGTGAACAAAATACAACTCCATTCCAAACGAAAATACTTGGACAAGATCGAGTTTTTACAAGACCTAAACTCGTTCAAATAACTGATATCAGTGTTCGAAAACAAGATACTTGTCAAACAGTTGCTTATACATTTGAATCATTTTTTCGCAGGTAAACAATTTTCTTAATAGGTTTTAATGCTTTTTTTTTGTGAAATACGATCTAAAAGAAGTATTGATGTAAAGAAGTAGGACACATTCATAATGATCAGAAGAACTAATAATTTTTTATTCTGGTTTCGCGCTTAGTTATATATGTATTAGCGAAAAAATCAGATATTATTTCCTAGTAGTATTAACACGCTCGAGATATCTTGCATGACGTCTAATGTTCTCTCTTTTGAAGATTTATTCCTTTTTTGATTCACTGATACTTCATCTATTGTGCACGTTTATATGTTCGACAGCTCTGTTGTTTGCGAACAAAAAAACAGTAATTTTATTATCAGAATTGTAACAGCAAATATTGAAGTGATCATTACTCAATAATTTTTTCATACACATTTAGAACACACAAATCTTATATGACCATGAAATATATCACTTCCTATCAAAAGGTGTTGCTCCTGATCTTAGTCGCAGTCCCTGTGTCGGTTGAAAAAAAATTTGATCCCGGTTCCGACTTTGATCAGAAAAAAAACTGGTTCTACTACCGCTAGGACAGGTACCGAGATCATCTTGCTCATATCTATTCACTCTCCTCTTCGTACAGACCATGACAAACGATGTTGATGTACGATCAATCACCGCATATCAATAATGTCGCGTTCTTATATATGTTAACTGAAGCGGTTGCATTGTATTTCACATTTTAATCCCGCAAGAATTCAGCTGACAGCTTTTGTTTTGTATTTTTTTAGCTATTTTCAATCGACATCATTTGGTATTGGAATTGGCATTCCTGGTGTAATTAGTGCTGCAGTAGGATATAGTCAAACATTGAGACAAGTTCAAGAAGCTATAACGAAAAGTGAAAAAGCTGTTGGAGTATCAACAACATGGTGGGGTCTTTATTCCGTTCAGCTTGCTCCTCCTTTTCTTCTTAAGTAAATTCTCTATTTACATGAGATAAATGCATTTAAAAATGAATGTTGTTGTTTGTTTGTTTTTTGTTAGATTAGATCCCATGTTTATTGAAAGTGTTGATGTATTAGCTTCAGAAGCATCGAATCCATCTAATGAAGATCATCAAGCATATTATAATCAATTTGTTGAAACATATGGAACACATTATGTATCTCGTATTGTTGTTGGTGGTACAGCTTATTTATATACATTATTAGATTCCAGTTATCATAAAATGTCTTCATATGAAGAAACAACAAGTCAAGTTAGTTTAATGTTTCAATATCAACAAAGTTATGGTCAATATGGATCCGATACAGCTCAAATTTGGGCATCAATGAAAGAAACATTTAAGAAAACTGCAGCTACATTATCTGTTTTTTAACCTCCAGTAGAAAGTCAAAATAGTGAATCAGATTGGGAGTAAGTTTTAAATCGAACTGTAATTATCTACTATAAATATTTTACTCTATATAGAGCATGGCAACAAACAGCTGGTAATTATCCAGTTGTTGTTAATCGAACATTATTTTCTATTCATAATTTAATCAAAAATAAACCAACAGTTCGAGAACATTTACGTAAAACAATTGAATTTTATTTACAAAAAGGAGTTATGCCAACATTAGCTGAATTGAATGGTCGAAGTATTGGTCGTAGTTCTTTAATACCACCAAAACCTCAAGGCCCTATAATTGGACTTGATGTTGTTGGTTGTGGATATGATCTTCTTTTGATGGAAAGTAAATATTGTATTTTTGATCAAAGTAATTTCACTGACAATGAACAATGGTCAGATCCATATAATAAAACTTTAACTTATTCTATACCTGATGGATGGTTTGTTGTTAATACTCCTGAATCATTAACATTTGATGGTTCAATTTTAGTTACATCTGTAGAAGATTATTTTCGTTGGACAACTACAGTTACTGTTAGAGAATCAGGCGGTTGGTTAGGCATTGGTCGAAGACGTAGTCAAAAAACAGTAACTGAATTTTATCGTCGTTTTTATCAAGATTATTATAATTTAGTACTTCGAATGAAACAAATTGGTTGGTATACATTATCAGTAACAGCATATCCATATCCAAAATTAAATCCTATAGCTCAAACAGCATTTAATAATTTACCCACAAATTTTGATATAAAAGATTTACAAATTTGGGAAGATTTTTTTAATATATTTGGAACAGATGTTGTTGTATCATCTAATATGGGTGGTCAAGTTTGGGCAGAAACATGGTATGAAAAATGTTTAACTTATGAACATACACAAACATGGATTAATGAACAAGTAAGCACAAATTGGATTTTTTTCACAGCACCTGTCAAAAACAGCCAAGATTATAGACAACAAGTCGATGAACGTTTTAAACAATATTCTAAATCTTCATCTCAATTATTAGGTGGTACTGAGTCTATTAGTCCATCTCAATGGGAAAAATGGGCTCCAACAATAAAAACACGTCCTCGTCCTATATCTTATCGTCTTATGTCATTAGATGAAATTTTACCAGAAAGTAATCTACGTCGTGCACTTAAAGCAGCAATTCATTATGTTTTAAAAACAGCTGAAAAAGAAGATCATAATTATGTTACTCAATTAGAAAATCTACGAGGTCCACCGAAAAAAACTGTAGCCGAAATGAAATTCGTACACGACGAGCTGAACCAATAATAACGAACGAAGAAGCGAAAAAAGAGCTATGTCCTTATATTGGATATAAAGGAAAGGAATGTGTTGAATCAAAAACAACAGGACGAGCTTTAATAGCAGAAAATGCTCCTAAAGTAAAGATTTTCTTTTTAAACTTACAAAATAATTGATATTAAAATTTATTTCTCTTTTTTCAAGTTACCAATTGATGTTGGTATGACACTTGATATAACAACAGGTAGACTACTTCTTCCTGCTTTGGAATATATCTATCGTGGAAACAACTATTGGACAGATCCGATCTCAAAGATAATGTATCAAGCTCCTCGTGGAGTAACTTTTCCTGCAATTAGTCAGAATGATAATAATCCTCTTTCTCGTGTTTTTCTTACAGCTGCTGAATTATCAAATGAGTGGAAATATGAAAAATTAAGAGGAAGTTGGTTAGGTGGAGAATTCGGTCATTCAAAATCATTACTTGATATTTACAGTAGATTTTTTTCAAAAAATCAAGCAACAGCTATTACACAGAAGCCAAAAGTTTTATATCGACTACGTGTTGAAAATCTACAATTAAATAAATATGCCAGAGAAGCAATAGAAAGCCTACCAGCTGTATACGATGAAATTTTATATGATGACTTTTTACGAAACTGGGGTACACATATAATACAACAATCTCTTATTGGTAAGTTTCAAAAAATCTATAAAACTGACAGATTTTCATAATCAATTTCCTTACATTGATATAGGTGGAATGCATGAACAACAAGTTCTTTTTAAAGATTGTGTATTTTCATTTAATGGTGCAATTACATCAGACAATTTAAATGATTATCTTAAAAAAGATATTCTTTCTGAAACACTTGGAAATAATTTTTATGCTAATCGTCGAAGAATTTCTGTTGATCATTGGCTTGGTGGTGATCCAACTGAGAAGAATGAAACACGTTGGCAACAAACATTAGTTGCTAATCCTGCTTTGTTGAAAATTGAACAATATATACCTTGGTCAGATGTTATAAGTTGATTCAGATGTACGTGAAAATTTAAGAAAAATCATTCAAGCTCGCACTACAGCAGCAGATAAAGTTCGAATAGATGAAGAAAGTGAATTGGCTAAACAACGTATTAATGGAAGTTTTATGGCTAGAGAAGGTTCAATCGGTCTTGTAAATAATGGTAAATGTGAAATAATACCTACAACATTTGGTTCGGTAAAAGATTGTTCAGAAGGATGTCCAACTAATACACAGATAAGAATCAATTCTGATTTTCTCGATAATCAACAACTTTGGTATGTGAGAGATGAAACAACAGGATTGATTCGAGCTCGAGCACGTATAGATGCACGTTAGTTAAAAACTATTTTGTTTATTTTTAAAATATAAAAAAAATACTTGTTCTTCTTATTATAGAAACAGTACTTGAAGGACCTATAGTCAATGCTGGATGTTCATCAATTGATACTGGAAGAGACCCGACTAGATCTGCTCATATATGTGTTTCATGTGATTTAGTTAATAGTTTTTCTAATCAATGTGTATGCGTTTGTCCAACATATCCACCATCGACTGGATCGTAATATATTTCTTGTGTTTATCGAAATCATGATTCCAACGAAATCTTGTCTGTTATTTGATATTCAATGTAATTTCTTTTTTTTTAAATCGAAATAAAATGTTTTTGCTTGTGAAAATTTCACTACTTTAAGAAACAAGCTCTACTTCATTAGGCATCGTGAAGCATTGTATTGCAATACGTTTAAAGCATCGTTAAATTTTTCTGTTAAACGATAAATTTTCTATTTATTTTCTTGCCACATTTGTAACAAGAACAGATATTTTAAAAAATTTTCTCTATTTGAATAATTGCTTCATGATCGCTTTATCCAATGAACTTATTAAATAAAATGCAATTGCAGGGTGTGAGTTTGGAATTGTGTAGTCTCTGCACTCATGTGCCTATTAGATTAGATGGCATCTAATCCTTTATCTGGAACAATGTTTTACAAAATCTAGTAATCCTGGACATAGAATCTGGATGAGTCAAAAAAAAAAATATAAAATTTTGCAAGAACAATAGATTCCATGCGGTTCAGAAGCATGCCTTGGTTCTTGCTAGTCAGAATTTTTCGATAAAAAAAGGAAACCAAAAAATGATGTTATATAGGCATGTTCTGTATTTCAAGAAAGTTTTCATGGAGCTTAGCACAACAAAACAAGCGTTGAAGAATATCTACCGAATTCAAGTTCAGAAAAAAAACAAGTTCGACATTTCATCGACAATTACATAGCCAAAGTCAAAATCTTCCCATACATTTAATTATAATTCACATGACAACACTCATTTAAAAGCAACCAAAATCGTCAAAAAACGAATTGTGGGTTCTGGTAACAATCTTGTTGAAAACATTAGCGAGACCTACTTCACTGTGCACATAGAGACGAGCATGGGTCGTTGTCAAAAGTGCTTGCGCAGTGCCAAGAGTTTCAGATAAGACTTTTAATGCAGTAGAGACTTTGATAAATGGTTTTAAATACCAACACCACAGCAAAAACGTGGTTCGTACTGTCAATACAATTGCAATAAACGTTAGTCAGAAAAAGTAAGCTCGACAGGTAAACTGGAATGGGACCTTCAATAAAGCTTTTATTAAACTATACTCAATAAGTTCTCTAGAGCACTCCAAGGGTTATCTGCGAAGAATTGTGCGAGACCTTTCAGGAGTCATCAAGGAATTGCAAGAAGATCGGCAACAGCTCTGGATTAGATTTCTCGAGGAATATGCAGAGAATTCATAGAAAGTCTCCAGAAAACACTCAGCAGATCTTCAGTGCATCTGAAGGAATCTTTGAAGGATCTATAGAAGATTTTCTAATGCTCTCGGAGCTATTCTTGGATAATTCATTGAGATCTCTTGGATATCTTTTGAGAGGACCCCTAGAGCTTTCATAAAGAAATTCCATTGATCCGTAATAAACATCCAAGCTTCTTTGAAGATCTTGCAGGCACTCTCTACAAATCTTCTCACGATCTCTTCAAATCATATAAGGAACGCTTGGAGATCTGCTAAGGATCTACTAGAAGTTCTCTAATGATCTTCTGCAGATTCTCTATGGGTTCCTTGTGGAGGCGATAAGGATCTTCCTGTAGCCCCAATAAGAATGCTCTGAAGAATCCTGAGCAATACTCTGGAAAACGCTAACCAATATTTTGGGGACCTTTCGAGCTGTAGTTGTAAAAGTCTGGAGAATCTTTCGTGACTCTTATCTGATTAGTAAAACTTGGACTACGCATTGATGGATTTTGAGCTCAATTTTCTTGATCATAAAAGATGATCTTTACCCTTTTTGGTCGTTTCAACATTGATCCCTAGACTGAAAATTTAACAGTTTCTGGTAAAAGAAGTATTAGTTCGCATGAAGTTATACTTTATTCAGTTTCTTCATATCATCAATCGCGCTCCTCTGTCCATATACCAACATGTCCGATAAGAAGAAATGACAAACGAAAGATAAGGCATAAAAATAAAAAAAAATGATAAAGAACGGTTAAACATTATGTACAAACAATCTATTCAACCAAACAGTGAAAGTAGATGATGATACGGAATAAACGGAACTGAGAACGTCAGATAAACGATATGGTCTAAAATGGAAATTCATGTGTCTGTTTGTAAAATAGTTACCATATAGTAACTATGGTATAAATAACTATACCTCGCGTTTGTGGCATGAGTGACTACATAGGATGCCAATGGGTACTTAGGCATCAGGAATCATGTCGATTGAGTAGTGTAAAAATATGAGAGATACGAAATTCATGTACACTCGGTATTTCACCCTATACGGCTGTATTTCTCTGTAAACGATCTGAAGAAATACGATCGTAATACTGAGTCATGTAAAACAACAATATACAATGATTTATGGTCGATTACGAGTGTGCTTATTCGATCTAGGATACTTTGAGTAGTGATAATAATTGTTATTAAACTATTAAATGGCTCTGTCCATTTCTCAATGATGTATACGTCAAAGATATGATGTAACAATTATTAAGAGTTAGATAATGTGTTCGAACATAATATTATGATAAACTAACATCACATTTCTCGAAAAATGCAATAATACTAATTTTTTTTCTCGCAATAGAAACATCATTAATTTAACTACATAATTGTATTCATTTCTATTTTATTTTTATCAATTAATATACATGTAACATAAGTTTTCTTCCAAACACAAAAGAAGAGACAGAGTCATATAAATGATGGCAAACTGCAACATTTTCAATTTCAACTTTTTCTAATTAAAATATTGAAACTTCAAGCATAAAATCTTTAAAGTCAATATACTAGTAGTATGTGTGACCGCATATCTTTGATAGAATTTCAGTAGTTCGACATGTTTCGAAATATGACAAAAAGAATTATTCATTCGCTACTCTCAAGTTACACCACTAATATAAACTCGTCTTGATTCGACAAGTATAGGATATTGAAAATCGGCTTTTCTTTATAAAAATAAAAATAAAGTTTTCTAGTATGAAAAATATGGTTTTGTGAAACGAGTTGCTGTTACATGTCAAGTCATGTCTTGCATTTATTTAGTACTTTATTTAGAGCACATTTATATCTAGATGCTTCTATATACATCTCTCTATCCCATCAGTCTGGAGTCAAGTGAATCAATTCTTGGTGACTGTTACTTGTTATAATTAAGATAAAAAATTAGCTTTGATCCTTTTCACCGTTTCAGCATGGATACTCTGTTTCAATTACTGTTATGATTGAGATAAGAATTTATCTTCGGCTTTGTTAGTCGTTTCAGGATGAGTGCCCTGTTTCAAGTACAATCATAATTGAGATAAAAATTCATTTCCACCGGTTTTAGTTGTTTCTACATGGGCGCCCTGTTTCATTTATAATTATAGTTGAGATAAAAATTTATCTTCGGCTTTTTTGGTCATTTCAACATGATAGCCATCAACCGTTAACCATTCTTTGGATGGTAACACGTTTCTATGTGTTTAAATGACTTGAAAGCGAATGCATTTCTCGTCGTTCAAAATGCAACATTTTCATGTTTTATAACGCGCTTGTTGTTTGTGATGCGTTTGACGACGTCTAGAATGCAACATTCTAAGGTACCTGAATGCGTTCTATTACAGAAACGCGTTCTAACGTCGTTTATTATTAAACTCGCGTCGATGCATTGGAGCATGTTCTACATTTCTTTTTATCAACAAAAAAAATCATCGCTCTATTATGATATTGATCCGCTGTTGTCATTACATGACATATTCACTTGATTTCAGCAGAGTTATACATGCTCATTGAATCTTTTCTTTCATTGTTATGTGACTTTTTGTCGAAAAAAGCATCTATTTTTTATTGCAATCAATTCATAAAGTCAAGTCAATTCGGAAACAGTTTATTCTTTCTTAGTTATTAGTTACATTGAAAATAAACACATGATAATTTTCACATATGATTAAATTTTTGAGAATAAAGATTTTAAGTTCTGAGTTACATCAAATGGAAAGAATTACTTTATTGAAATAATTTATTCCACAGTAATGGCTGTATACTATTTATAGCACTTTAACTTTGATTTTAATTTTAAAGTGTAACTGTTACTTTTGACTTAAAATCAAAATTAAAGTTAAGTAACTTCCTTAATTTTTATATTGTTGTTTTTGATGACGTCGAAATTCTATAGAACTAATTTGTTAACTAAAATAATGCAAATAAAAATAAATAAATTTGAAAACTAGGTGTTTTTGTTTACAAAAACCATAAGTTTAGTTTCGCTTGACTATCCTAGCTCTTTATTAATTTTAAAAAAGTTTACATAATGGAATATGAAAAACTAAAAATACTTTTTTAACTTAAATCCTAATTTTGAATTTCATGTTAAAGTTGAAGGGAGCACTTTACTTTTTAATTTAAAGTATTCGAAAAAAGTAACTTGCTAGGCCTAATGTATACTCTACGCAAGGATAGAATTGATTTCATGAAAAACAAAAAAAATATCGATGATAAGAATGAAAATTATTTAATTTCAATATTGATAGTCAATAAGTTTGCTATATGTGTCAAAATCAGATTCATGTTAACATATTTATATTTCACAGGCTAATTAATTACTTGTGTATGAAAATGAAAAAGCGGCATGGATATTCAGAATTTTTTTTATTTTTAACCATTTATTCTTGTGTGTTTCACATAGCAACTAGCAAGCTACATTTTAAAATTTATGCATTATCAAAAGAATTCAATAAGATGACTAGTACAATAAGGCTCGACAAATTATGCCTTTTAAATAAATTATAAGAGAATTATAAAAATGTTTTGTAACGATATCTACATAGTCAAATTCGCTATAAAGACGTCTATTTGTATTTATTTCAGTGAAATAACCTGTAGCACTGATGACAACGGACGCAATCGAAGTTAGGAATCCGTTCAAATGTATCTTAGTCATGTGATGACGAATGGCGAACTGCGTTCAGACGTGTAACTTCTAGTCACAAGTATTAAATAATGTATACGATAAGGACGTGTGATTGCATTTCTTT